CTGTTTTAAAAAAAAAAATTATAGTTCCAGTGGACTGTCAAAAGCTAAAAAAAATTAAAAAATGTAATGTTTCCTTTTTGCAACAGACATTTATTCGTAAATTGCCATTTAACTTGTCCAAAATTAAGACGAAAACTGAGAAAGATCCAAAAAACAAAACAAATTGACTTTTGGACCTGAATCCCGAAAAACTAAATAACAAAATCCGAAATGAAACAAATTTATTGCCGGCTTACATGTCTAATAAAATGTGGCATTTTTCCACTTTGTTTAGTACCTAATCTAGGAGTACTTTTTTCTGTATTTTGCAGGAAGTTCAAATATGCTGCAGGTGAAGTCTTAGCCCCTGACGTGGGTCAGCATATGAAAAGGTACTGAAATTAAAGGATCAGCCATGAAAACAGGATTTTTGACTTACTGTAAAATAATTTTCTTGGAGTGTATTAAGGGACACAGGGTCAGAAGGATTCTGAGACACTGCGTTATTCAGGAGAACTGGACATTGGCAAGCAAAACATAGTTGAACATTAGTATATACCCTCCCACTCCCATCATACTTCAGTTTTGGAAAAGCAATAGTAACTCCAACTCTAATCTACCTACTGATCTACCTACTGGCCTTTCATTCTTGTAGGCCAGCAGCGCCGGATCTAATATCTATCCAGATATACTGTTGTTTTACGTACGGATCAAAATAACATGACACCTGTGTATGAGTACTCTTTGGGGGTATTCCGGCAATTAATTTGAGGTTTATTATGGCAATAATGGGAGTGACAATATGCTAAAGCTCCTGCGTTGTGATGTTGATGCTCCATCTTACTTTTGTATTTAAATGGATAATTATGGATGCCTAATCAATATACAATTTGTGTTCATATACAGTATTGAGCTATTTGCATTGTTAGCCTATGTTGTTATAAACTTTCACGCATGTTGTTATGTTTTCCCACTGAATCCGTTCCGCCATTGGAGATAGGTAGTATTGTATACCTTGAGGCGTAATCTCATCTGCTCTTGACAACCTTTTACTAAACTTCCACCCATTGGCAGAACCTGTCACTTTATGACAACTCGAGGTTCCACTTCTTAAGACATGAGAGCACTGCGCAGGCTCCATCCCGTCGCTGAAGCGCAAGCTATTAGTGTTGTGTGTTCCACCTCTTACGGATGCGGCAGTGTTAGTCTTCAGCCCTGCCCTCCTCCTCGCTGCCGAGGTACGTGACGCGCATGCGCAGACCGTTGCGCAGCGACGATGGAACGCAAGCCGGAAGCCGCTCTGCGCCCCTTACAGTCGACATGCGCACGAGAGATGGGCGGCGCTCACGGCCGTGAAAGCGTCCTATCGCCTTGACAACCACCCGCTCCGGCCGTACAACGGCCCGGTTTCTCCTCGCGCTTCGGTGCACCTGGAACAGTCAAGGTTAGTTTAGATTTGAACTAGTTATGGTGGGAATGGATTCAGTGATGTCATTTTTCGTATGGGAGTGGTCTATTCTTATTCTCACTGTGTGATGTCTATATAAGGTCGATGTATCTGTTACCTATGTGTCATTCTGAGCCTGATGAAGGGGACCCCTTGCGGCCCCGAAAGCGCCTGTGTTGGATGGCAATATGCCATTAAAATGGATCATTGATTTTCAAAAATGGTGTGCTGGTGACATTATTTCCCTTTTTCTAGGGTAACGGGAGGACGCTAGTTTGGGTCCTCCCGTTACCCTAAGGAGAACTATGGGGAAAAACACTGACCCCATAGTTCTCCTTTAATCTTTCATTAAGAGGCACAGGGTCAGAAGGATTCTGAAACACTGGGCTGTTCCAACACAGTCCAACTGGGTGGGCAATGCAGCAAACAAAACATCAACATGTTCACAAACAATAGAGTAAAACTTGGGGCAAGTCGCAGCTCAAACAGCTGCCTGAAGGACCTCATGACCAAAGCTTGCAGCAGCAGAGGGCTGAAAAAGGTGCCAAACCAGGTTGAGATCCCAAGGGGTCACAGTCAGCAACACTCTGTACAAAGGTTTATACCAGGGGTAGCCAAACTCCGGCCCTCCAGCTGTTGTGGAACTACAAATCCCATGAGGCATTGCAAGATTCTAATGGCCACAGACATGACTCCCTGAGAGATGCATCATGGGATTTGTAGTTTCACCACAGCTGGAGGGCCGGAGTTTGGCTACCCCTGGTTTATACCAGGGGTAGCTGGTATAAACCAGTTGATATTTGTCCTTGATAGTACTCAAGGACAAATATTGATCCAGACCAGACTGGAGAAAAGTGAGGATGTGCCCCACAGAGATTTAATCACCACTGGGGTTTTTTTTTTACTATATAACAAAAAAAGTACTGAATATTTAAAAAGAAAATGTTTTTTTCTTTATTATTTTATGAAAAATTAATTTGTACCCAATTTTTTGGTAAAATATCAAAGGCGGGGTCACGTCGGGTAAATAGACACCAAACATGTCAAGCCTTAAAATTGCGCGCGCCCGCAAAATCGCAAAGAAACACCATAGCCAAAATTGGTCATAGACGATGCTTTAAAAGATTTTACCGCTCATCAGTTTAGTGTTATCAGTGATTGATGGCCCTAAAATGATTGCTCTCATTGCGACGTTGGCGGCGATATGTAACACATGCAGCATAATTGGAGCAATCGTCATTTTTGCGTGTAGGCGCCACTAACATATTTTTGCGCATTTATGTGAGGGTGGGGGACTTTAAAAAAAATTGTGGATTTTTTTGTTGTTTTGTGTGTCTACATTTTTATTTATTTTGTGTGCAATTTTTTTGTAAAACTTTTATTACACTTAACTTTATTGTTATCACATAGGGTGCTAAGAAGTTCCCTATATGATAACAAATTACAGTTACAGGTCCCCTTTATGGAGACATCAGAGGTCTCTAAGACCCCTAATGTCACCTAGGGACCCCCAGAGAAGCTGATGAAGCACAGATCTGCTTCATCAGCTTCTCTCCGGTTTCTGTACCGGAGAGTGACAGAGGAATGCGGAAGTGATGTAATATACATCACTTCCTGCATTCAGAGACCGGGAGGAGAGCGGAGGGAGATCGGGTATTGATCTCCCTCCGTTCTCAGTGCACAGAGCCGCCACATCGCCCGTGATGGATGGACGCCCGGGATTGCGGGGACAGCGGCGGCGGCGGGGACAGCAACGGCGACCAGAGGTAAGGAGGGGTGGGCCATCGCAGGAAGTGTTGATGCACTGGAAAAATGGAGACATGCAGGTAGGAATCCCTATTGTCCACTAAGCCTAGAAAATTTCCCAGAAGGAGGGAGGCAATGACTGACCGGGTAGATTCCATACAAAACTTTGTTAAATTAAGTGTTGAGCGCTATGAGGTCTGAAATGGGATGAATGCCCCTTTTTTGCTTTGGGAACAGTGGATGGGTTGGAATAGAAACCCAGAAAGCTTTCTTGCTCTGATATTGAGGCAATGACTCCTTGGGACAGGAGTTGTGCCAGGGTAGCGTGGAGGTCTGCTAATCATTATGGGAACATTGGCAGCTGAAATGGCACAGAGCAGGGTGGAGGTAGAGTCTAGATTTCTACCTTGTAGCCCCTGGACACAACGTCCCTCAGCCCTAGTAAATATGCTTTTGGTCCAGGTGGTTGCAAAGGTTAACAGAAGTCCCCCCACACACACTTTATTTTGAGGATGATTTTTCCACAAGTTTAGTTTATGGGGGAATTGAGTCCCAAGCTTGGCCTTGGGCTTAGAGGTATACAAACTCTTTAGTTTAGTTCCAGAGGAAGGAGGTTTTCTAGATTAACCACTTAATCATAGGACATACCTCTACATCCTAGTGTTTAAGGGGTTATACCAAGATCACAGATGTACAGCCCTGTTCTTGGTATAATTTTTAGAGCAGGCAGAGGGCTTTTGAGTACAAGTGATCTGGGCGGCTGTAGAGCTTCCTAATCACTTATATTGGCCTTTAAATGTGCTGTCACCACTGCACCCCCTGCAATGGTTTCCGTGCTGTCCATTGGGGGCCTGAGACCACGGCAAAAGGTGTCTGTTCCCTGATCTGCTCTGTGATCACTGTGCTCTCAGCACTTCCTGCTTCAGACCTGTCTAAAGTCTGACTGAAATGCCGGCTAAACAGATGATCAAGCACAATCCTGTGTTTGAGCAGCTGCAGTGGAGACATTAGGGCTCTAATAGACCTAATGTATCCATAAAGAGAACCTGTCACCTGCCAAAGCTATCACATAGTAGTTAGCCCCTTATGCTAGCAATAAAGCTGGAAGTTTAAAAAACTTTTAAAGGTAAAGATTATTAAAATTAAAAAATTAAATTAAAAGCAGACTGTTCCACAAATGCAAACAAGCACATAATGCATGCATATGTGTGTAACCAGCGATTGTGCCACACATATTAGGTATTGCCATGAATGTCAGTGTGTGACCAATAATTCTAGGGCCATAATTTGCTGTTAACTCTATATTGATGAGTGAGTGGTAAAGGCTTTTCTAAAGCAACGCCTATGACAATTTTGGATACCATAAGTCTTCACCATTGCACAGACGTGCACAGTTTTGAGGCAGTTTACATAGTTACATAGTATTTGAGGTTGAAAAAAGACACGGGTCCATCAAGTCCAACCCATAGCGTGTATGTGCGTGTATCTATTTACTCTATGTGACCCTATCCTGTAGATTTTACCCAAAAATCGAGTATTACATTGTGTTTATGTACACTAGAATTCATTTTAGTGTATTTCTTTCCTAAAAATATGGATTTAAGAAATATTTGTGCAACTATCATGCAACATAAAAAAATTGCAGCTACCAGCTTTTATTGTACAGGAGCTCTGATTTCCGAAAATATATAATTATTTGGGGGTTTAAAGTAATTTTTTATCTAACAATTCAGATTTTAATGAAAAAATGTTCCAGTGCCAAAGTGGTTGGTAAACTTGTCCAGGGAACTGCCAAAGAGGAGTTCTCCCCAAAGGGTATACGCAGTAAGTGGATTTTGAACTGCTGTTGAGCAGACCAACACTTAAGCCAAAGATTCCCAGTGTCCCAGAGTTTTTCTGCACTGCCTGATCAACAATTGTTCTTGTTGCCAGTGTCCAATGCTCCAGCAGCATAACCCACTGTCTCAGAATTCTGCTGTCCCTGTATCCCTTAATAAACTATTAAGTATTTTCAGAAGGAGTTCAACAATGGCAGCGTACATATTCCTCTACACATGTTTACTTCTTCCTGCTAATACTGATTTATTTAGGTACAAATATGTTTGAAACTTACTTAAAATAAGGAACGGAGCACTTGCTACCGTGACAACGAAAGGCACTCCACATAATAATAAGAGACCAAAGCTTGAAAGTATAGCTAACCCAGCGGAAATGACTCCAAAAGAGGCCACCCAGGTTTTATTCCTCACACAGTCACGCCTATGAAGAATGAGAAATTAGAACATTAGAATTAGAAATTAGAAATACAAGATTTCAGTAAAGGAAATATGTTGCTAATTTTACAATTATAGGATTTTGATTTCATTTTCTTACCTTATACATGATATAACAGAAAAGAATATGGTAATAAAATATGTGATAGAATACAGAGGAATCACAGTTTTTGTTGTCCCTTCAAACTCCTTTTGCCTTGATATTGATGAAAAATAGGATATCTAGAGAAAAGGACAACAAATGATTTTACAATGAACATTCCCAATCAAATCATGTGACAGCAACTTCATTATTCAGTGCTGGGCATTTTTATGCAAATTGTTTCTTTTTCAAACAAATTTCTTCTCAGTTGTTTAGTATAATATTACTTAATTATTGAAAATGTTTTCAGAGTATTAGGTAAAAACTATGACAAAAAGACTTTAGCCTCTCTGGAAAAAAAAAAGAGCCAAAACAATGTAAATTCAGCCGTATTTAAAGTAGAACTCCTGCTTTATTATAGGAAAAAGAAGCGGCATTTGCTGCATTACTTTCGAAGTTTAATAATAAAGTATAAAACTGAATCCATACCAATACTGTATGTGGATGGGATGATACTCCTTTTTAAAAAAAAAAAATCCCCTGGACACATTTAGGTATTTGAAGTGAACACAGGTTCACTTCACCTCACTTTAGTACATCAGCCATGATAATGAATTCATAAAACGAAATTAATCTATTATATTACAACAAATATTGCTTATCTATCTTTTTATCAATCTCTCTTAATTTATCTTTATCTATCTATCTATCTATCTATCTATCTATCTATCTATCTATCTATCTATCTATCTATCTATCTATCTATCTATCTATCTATCTATCTATCTATCTTTTCATATATATTTTTATCTATTATCTATCTATTATCTATTTGTATCTATTAATATTCCTATGTGTCTGTCTATCTCTGTGTGTACCTTTTTCAATGAAAGAATGAAAAATAGAAATAACTTTTCCTTACCTTTATAGTGTTCAGTTGTAATATTTCTATATTCTGAGATGCATTTTTGATAAAGTGCTCGATCCATTGCAGGCTTCTTTGCTGGTTGTCTTCTCTCAGATAATACACTAATCTTACTGCTTTTGCACTCTGTACAGTGTTGTTGGGGTTCAGTTTCACCCCACCCAGGGATGTTCCCAGGAATGTTCTCCCTTCAAATAAGGGATAACTAATATTTAATGTCTCTATCAGATTTACATTACTTTGTACTTTGGATAAGAGTGGATTGATTGCGGCACATTCGTCCCGCTGGACCTTTGCACAGAGTAGCTGGAAGTTCAAGATCACATTATCATTATCTTCTTTTATTGTGATGTTCAGATTCTGCACCATCTCATCCAGCTTCACAAGCTCTCTGAATGAATCAACATTTATAATATTATCAGACAGACTGACAGCAATAATGGAGACAAAGGAGCCTTCTGTATAAAGTCTCTGTGCAGAGAAATGCCCTGAGTCATTAGTTGGGAAGTGTGTCCTCACAAATTCTCTCTCAGATTTAGCTGGACCTCCAACCGGGGTGAACTCATTTTCTATGTCATTAGACATCCTCTGGGGTAAAAAGTAAAATCCGGCTCCCAGACCAGCAGATATGACCATGGGAATAAAGAGGAACCCCCAGGGGTACCTGCCTACCACTTTCCCAAACTTGTAGAATGCAAGAGAGAGAGGTCTCTGTATACAGTCTGTCCGACAGCGAGCCATTCTATTCACTCTGCAGTCAGCTACTGAGTGAGACCGACAGAGAGAGAAAAGCAGGATCAGTTAATAATAAAAAGTAATAGCTTAACCAATTAACTGGTCATACAGTTAATTGGTATGACCAGCAGCATTAGCTCATGATCTGGTTTGTATAGTGTTACCCCACTCAGAACCAGGAAACAAAATCAGCATTGAGGAAGTAACAGTGCTATTGATCGTATTACCATGTTCTCCAGAATATCAGCAAACTGTGTGTTTCATTTTTACAGAGGCACTTTTTTAAGGTCAGTTACCCTAACATAAACTTTGCTGTTATATTTTAACTTCATTACACTCACTATGATGTGAACATATTAGGAATAATCATATAATCTATTACTTTAGTGCCAATAATTGCAATATTTTCCATTTCCTGGATGGCTCAAACTGTTTAATAAAAAACACATAATACCCTCCTCTCCATTTAGATATGATCAAGTTTTCACTACTGTAGAGAATTACCACACAATATTCTACTGTTAAAAATTGAGCTACTAAGAGATCAGTTTCTAAACTTAGAATTTTCCTCTTTGAATCACCAACCAGTAAAAATATGCAACTCCCTTCGACAGTTAGTGGTATCAGCAGATAGCTCTGATAACTTCAAAAAACACTTAACATAGATGAGTTTCTCGGTTTGCAGATTATACAGGGATATGGGAGATGTTAGCGACATCTGTATTCACTAAGACATATATATAGGTTGAACTGGATGGACCTGTGTCTTTATTCAACCTTACAAACTATGTAACTACGACCTTGTGAACATTTAGTAAGCCCCCACTTAAAGAAAAAAAGGTTTTCTGTCCTCTCTAGAATGACTGTGTTTTGTAGTGTTGCGTCATTTCAGTAAAAATCATGTTTCATTATTTAATTTATTAAAAAAATATATATTGATGGTGAAATGCGTGAGAGGCGTTGGAGTGGGAGAGATACTAAGGTGGTGTAAACCTTGTATTTTGAACTTTGTATGGAATTTACAACAATAAAGTTGGATTTTTATGGACCTCGATTTTGTGTGGCTGATTGGAGGGATATCAGTAGAAATCATGTTTCAATATTTCATTTATATTTAATTTAATTTTTTATTTGATACAAAAAAATATATATTAATTTGAAGAGTCAAATGATTATTTTGTTGCATTGCTGAATCAATAAACATTAAAGTAGTATTAAACTCTCAAACATTTTCAATAATGATATAATAATATTCAGATCTGAATAATATACAGATCAAACACATATACATTGTCATGTAAAGAGTTTCTTTACATTTTTGCCCAAACACTTACAGTCATCATGTTTCACAAGAGCTGGCTCCAACTCTCCCAGCTTAGATTCCCTTAAAGGAGAACTATGAGGTGAGTGCTTTTTACTCACCTCATAGTTCTAGCCGACCTGTGACAATGAGACTGTCACAGGTCGGCTCAGTAGATCGGGAGGTGAGCAAACACATACCGGCGTTCGCTCACTTCTTGATCCTGTCATGGCTCTTTGCCATGACAGGGGAGGGGCTGGATTCCCCCCTCCCCGCTCCGATCCTCCAGCGCTGACTGGCGGAACGGATGGGGGAAGGGGCAGGTACAGCTGACTCTGCCTCTAGATAGGCAGAGCCAGCTGTCACTCATGCAGCTGGGCGGATCCAGACATAATTGTCGGGATCTGCTTCAGCTGCGGCGTCTCAGTTTATATAAGCACAGAATAAGAGAGAAGGGTAGGGTTTGTGTTGGCTAACAGGGTGACAGATCCAATAGATCTGTCTTCACACCGAAAACAATTATATATAAAAATGAAAATCTATTAATTTTGCAAAAATATTAGAATTAAAAACTAACACAGGTAATGTGGTTAAAAAACAAAATTAGTCCTAAACGGAACCTCCTAATAGCCCCCTTGGAAACCCACCAAACCGGTTCAGATAAGCAATTATACAGAACTACAACAAATTATTGCATAAGTGGCAGATGCAGTACTGCCACTATAAAACTCTGGAGTAAATGACAACAGTGAACCCTTTGGTGGATAAGAACAAGGTGGGCACAATTGTAGCATCGACAAGAGGTCAGGTGATGCTGGTGGAGCTCAACACGTTTCGCGCACAAAGCGCTTCGTCAGGAGCAGGAGGTAGTCTAGAAAAACATATGAAGATAGCCTTATAAATAATTAGCCATTTAATCAGTATAGTAAGGCTGTTGTGAGTCTGAAGATGTCAACTGATCTTACCCACTCAGTGCGCAGGCAGCGGATGCTCAGTGCACATGTCAACCAATGAGAAAGTGTGGAATGGCCCATAGTCCTATGTGGAGGATGGTGTGAGCACATCAAGAGCACCTAAAAATGCTGGAGAGCATCATACCGATTACTAGATATATAAAATGAAAAGATGAGACAGAGAAAGCTAATCAGAGCTCATGAGTGGAAGCTACCAAATTTATGCCCATAAATAAAAAAATAAATGAATATGGAACAAAAAAACTTTAGATCCATGTAATTGTCGCTAGGGGGTCTTTTTTATGATACAGCTGAAGTAATTGGTCAGGGAATTGAGTACTTGAATAGGTAAGATTTTATGTTCTTAAAGTACATAGGATAACATGAAAGAAGTAGGGAATATAGAAGACTTCACAAAAAATCATCAAATAATAACAGGGTTTGAAGCTAACCTATAGGAGAAACGCCCCCCCAAAAAAACAAGGGAGGGGGGAAAGGGGGTATTAAGAACCACTAAGGGAACAAGCAGGAAGGGCTGATGGCAATATCTCCAACTCCAGAAAGCAGCCGATGCTTGCGTGGCCGTCTCCAGCCAAACACTGTGAGCATCGGCGGTCGCATGCGGGCATATATAGGACGGCGTCTGACGTAGTTGGACAGCTGACTAGCTAGAGAAGCCAGCCTCTAACCAATGGGTGTTGAGTGGGCGGGACAAGCATCCAAGGATTGGGCCGTGGGTGGATTGCTACACGAAGATAGCAAGTGCCGCTGACAGATGGAGAGGAGGCCGAGGGCAGACGCAGCCGGTCGTTTATATAAAACGACCATGCCCGCACGTGCTGGAGACTATGGGCGTACATTGGTTAGCCAGGGAAGGGCACTTGAGCAGACCTGAGAGCACACTGAGAAGGGAAAGAGCCAGCCAAATTGAGAAGTAAAAAAAGACAACAAAAAAGCAGAAAAAAAAAAGCAGAAAAAAAAAACATAATAATAAATCCCACAGAGGACAGATATATGTGAAGAATATAAACACATATTCTTGGAATGGTTACCAACTAGAAAATAAACAAACAAAACATATGTATAGACGGCATGTATTAGAGTGGAAAGGGTAGAGGGGAACATTACATGCAGCGAGGTATGGCTTAGTATGTTACAGAAAATGGATACTTAACAATATTGTTTAGGTAAAACAATGATACATAGTATACAGCACAGTATTTATACATAATAATGATAGGCTTCAACAATTACACAAATCCTACTGTAGTGACACGTTTCTAGCTATGAATGAGAATAATACAACAGAGATGTATCATTTCAAACAGCATTCTATGATTCTCAACCCTCTAGCAGATCCTATGTTTATGTGTATTTTATTTAATTTTCCAAAAAACATATAATACAATACATAAGAAGGAGAGCCGCACAAATGTATATAAAAAAATAAAGGAAAAAAGCAACATATAGTTCTGATCTTGGGAGAAGATTGACATAATTAGTTATTAGTATGTGAAGCACAGTAAAGAGAGAGACAAATCCGGAGTTGACCACTCGAAGGATGGGCTTTTATTGGTTATAGAAGATGGTATAAATAAAAATAGAGGCCCCGGATACTATTTATTGGAGAAAGGGTTTAAAGCTCAAGGCTTCATTAAGTCCTGGAGGTTTTGTAGCATGTAACTTGTATATCCATTGCATTTCCTTTCGAATAACTTTTTGGTCCAGGTTTCCCCCTCGTATATTGTCTGCTATGTATTCCAAACCATAAAAGGACAAAACATCAGAATTTAAATTATGAAAAAGACCAATATGTCTGCTAACTGGGGTGGTAATTTTACCGTTTGAGGACAGGTAGACAGGATCTTGAATACGTTTAGAGAAGGCTCTTATTGTCTTCCCAATATAAAACGCACCACAGGTGCATGATAATAAATAGACAATTCCCTTTGTATTACAGCCTATATAATCCCTAGGGAACCATAGCCCACCGTTGGGTAGTTGGGTATGGTCACCTGATTTGATATATTTACAGAAATTGCATTTGTGGCAGCAGAAAGTGCCTCTTTGTGGAGGGACCATGATTTCATCCTGGGATAGATGGTGACTGTGTGTTAATTGATCTTTTAACGATTTTGAGCGTCTGTAGGTTATTTGGGGTTTGGGGCCCAGAAAACTAGAGACCTTAGCATCCTCAAGGAGGAGGTGCCAATGTTTCTCCATGGTCTTTTTGATCTCTGCGTGTTGGTTAGAGAAACGTGTGATAAAACGGAGGTTGGAATTTGTATCAACAGCTCCTCGTTCTTTTGGGGACGGATAGATTAGTTTATCTCGTTCATGGTTGATGACTCGTTGGTAGGTCCTTTTTAGGAGTTTTTTTTACTGTAGCCTCTTAGTAGTAGTCGGTCCCTTATTTTATGGCCTCAATGTTAAATTGATCATCGGTTGAGCAGATGCGTCTCAAACGTAGATATTGGCTATAGGGGATACTATGTAGTTAGCGGTATACTGAGCTTAGGGTGACGGGAGGATGCTATTTTGTGTCCTCCCATTACCCTAAGGACAACTATGGGGAAAAGCCCTAACCCCATAGTTCTCCTTTAACCTCCCTGGCGGTATTTCCGAGTGTAGCTCGGGGTTACTTTTCCATACCATAAGCGGTTACCCCGAGCTGCACTCGGGAATGCCGCACAGCATTTACTTACCTTGTCCCTCGAGCCGCGCTGTGCTCTCCGGCCATTGCCGGCATCCGTTTTTCCCCGGGTTCCGTCCCTTGCAAGTGTACGCATCGCAGGGGGGCGGAAGCAGCGGGATATTAAAAAAATAAATAAAAAACATGCAAAAAAAAATGACACGAAAAAAAATGAACGAAAAATGACACGAAAAAAAGAAAAAATCATACCGCCAGGGAGGTTAATGTCCTGCACAGTACAAGATCACAAGGAAGGAGGAGAGGGGAGCAGGTGAGTGTCTTGCCTTGCTGAGCTTGTGTGTTTGTAGAGAAACACACAGCTTACTAGCACACACACAAGGGTGGCTCCATAGGACCTTGTAAGGTGAAAGAAGGCACCCTAAAACAGAATATCAGGGCCAGTGCTCAGGAGGAGCTGATGATTCTGAAAGAAACTGAAACTTTTAAACATCAAGGAGCAGCATCCATTGTAAGTGATTTCATCAGCATTTAAAATAGCTTAAAACCTTTTGATTTTAATATCACTTTAACTGTTTCCAAACCTAACCCCAAGCAATCACAGAAATTTCAACCAATTTAGTTGCGCTAGGATAAAGTGTTAAAGCACCAGCTGCAACAATGTGTATGAACGTGATCAATGTGAGCCAGTATGTTGCGCTTGGTTTTGTGTATTCCACCTACTAGTTCATTTATAAAAATTCCTTTATAGGAAGAAAGTGTTCTGTCATAAAACTTTGTTTAAAATGATTAAATGACAGTAATTAAAATTAAATTATATAGTCACAAACCGTGTCTTTTGTTTGATGAAATTGCATCTCAATATTTCGTAGTGATTTTGTGATGTATAAATTGTGGGGAAGTGATTGAAACAAATAAAACATTAAAACAAAAAAACTTAACCCTTCTATTATTTTGTTCTATCTCTGTTCTATCTCTATTCAGTGGTAATAATTATGTTGTGAAAAAAAACAGTGATAGACCGCATAATTGTGTTCTAAATATTATCCATGTGTAAATCAAATATAAATTTTGTGGCCCCGCACTGCCGACAGGCTTCACAGTGAGGAGGCGGATCCTGTGACTCACCTCTCCTCCCGGCCGCGTCCATAGTTACAGGAGGGGAGTCACAGGAGACGTGTGTGTCACAAGCCCCGCCCCCTGCAGTGAGTGCACACAACTCCCTGGCTGGGTAAGTCCGAGCGCCGGAGGGGGGAGAGGAGGCAGCAGCAGCTGGGTACAGATATGTCGGTCGGTATCTGGATGGGGGAGTTTGTAGAGGGGTGAGAAATATCTGGATAGGGGGTTATAGAGGGGTAATAGATACGTGGTTGGGAGGTTCTCCTGCACATGCGATTTGCGATGCCGATCTGCCCTGATCACCTCATTTGCAGGTCCGTAGGGGTGCGGGTGATCGTATCCATACGCCGCCGAAATAGAATATGTATGCGTCCCGGCCAGAAAACCTGTGGTCACACATTTTAACGTAATCTCGCCAAGTTTTTCGGTGGTGGAATAGGTGAAGAATTCCAACGCTTTCATTTTTTGGTGTAACTGTATTTTATTTTGAAGGCATGTTTAAATACAATTAAACTTAAATTATTAAATCAAAACAATCTAAAATGTAAACAATCAACGTCCCCCCCCCTCAGCGGGCCACGGTAAAATTATCAAACGTTGACCCGTCCGCAACGATAAAAAGGTTGGGGAGCACTGAGTTAGAGCACCGGGTGACATAAAACCAAGGGACATAGCAGTCTGCAGCAGCTGCCCGTTTACTAGCTTGAAAAAATGGAAAATGGAAGAGTGGGGAGCAGGGAACATGGAAGTGCCTTGCTGTGTCTTTGTGTTTGTGGAGACACACACAGCTTACTAGCACACACAAGGGTTGCTCCATAGGACCCTGCAAGGAAAGGGAGCCATCCTAAAACAGGATATTAGGGCCAGTGCTCAGGGGACCAGCTGATTTTGCAGGAAGCTAAAACTTTTTTTGTCCTGATTTATAGGATATATCTTATGTCTGAGATTTCAGTTCATTTTGGAAGTTATAGGTCACAAAATACAAGGAGTGAAATACAATTTTAGTGCAGAACAATTTTAGAATGTGGTATGTTTTTCTACTATCTTTAATAGCCTCCTTGGCACTATATTTTCTTATAATTTTTTTAATAAACATATTTGTTTTACTTTTTAAACTTTTTAAACAATTTTTTTTACAAATTTTACAAATATTTTTTATTTAGAATTTTTTTTACTACTACTTTTCACTTTGTCATTATGGGGTACTGAGTGTAGATTAATGAGAAAAAAAATAAGAATTTAAACAACTGTAGTATCAGGCTGCAACATAGCAAAATTGAAAAAAGTGAAGTGGGGTACATTTAGGGGTCTATTTATAAATCTGTAGCTACTTAATTTAGGTAAGCAATTACTTCTTTCCCCAATATTCCAATACAACTCATTGTTTTCCCATTTATCTATTATTATATGATCTATAGGCTGACACACTGTGAAATGGCTGTTAAAAGCTGTAAACAAAAAAAGGTAATTTTTTCAAAAAGCTGTACATCAAACTGGAAAGCTCATACAAAACCTACAAACAAAACTATCAAGTGCAAACAAAACCATCAATAGCTTATAAAGAAGCTTGTATTGCAAGTGCTAACATACATCAATTTTACAGAGGCAGTAAAGTAAATTTTTGTACCCATTATGTAATTTGATTAACAAAGTATAAACCGGTGCAGTACATGTGTAAATTGAATCAATGAACTAAAGTATCAGTTTCATCAGTAATTATGTGGTCTCACATAAGCTCATAAATAGTTAACATATATTTAAAACAATGCATTTACCACACTTTCAACTTTAAACACATATTTAAAAGCTCTACTTAAAGTGACATTAAAGTACATTTTTTCCCTCTCCCCATATGCTGGTGTATGGACTGATGTCTCTTGATCCGATCATCTTTTTCTTTCCAGCAGTTTTCAGGAGTCCCTCCAGCGCTGGTGCCGTTTTCTAATGATGTGCTCACTGTTGCGGGTGCACCCTGCTGGGCTGCCTGCATTGACTTACCCTGTGTTTCTCCTCCCGGCCGAAGATCTCTACTGAGCATGTGCCTGCCCCATGATCCTTTGCGGCTGTCCGAGAATTTTCAAAACTTCGGACGGGAGCGCGCGGCGGAGACACAGGTGAGTTTTAACCTTTTTGGTAAACTTTTTTGTTGTAATGTTTTTGCATATATCTACTGCTTGCGAGATATATGCACAATAAAGTAGATATATGCAAAAAACCCTGAGGGTTTAAATGTCCTTTAACATTAAACTAGAATAAATGTCAATGTTTATTTTTATACAATAGATATAAAAACTATGAGGAAGAGTTCGGTTGATTGATCCAGGAATGTAGATTACATTCCTGTGTTATAAGTAATCTGGTATTCTGTCCAATGTGTTACTGTAACCAATTTCCTAGGGGTGACTCACTGAAAGCTGACTGTCAATGTTATTTTTATACAATGGATATAAAAACTATGAGGAAAAGTTCGGTTGATTGATCCAGGAATGTAGAATATATATCTGTCTTATAAGTAATCTATTTTTATGTCCAATGTGTTACTGTAAATTTCCTAGGGGTGACGCACTGAAAGCTGACTGGTTAACTTTTTTTTGAAGCGACCATAAAAAAAAATGAGGTAAAAAAAAATAAATTACTTTTTCCCTTTTCTTTCTTTTCTCCTTACCTACATACTTGATATGTTTGTGTCTGACTTTAAATTATTTTTTTTTGTAATTTAAAACCCATATTATTGATTAGCACACTGTAAATGTCTGCTTTGCACAAGGCAATTCCAACTAGTTTCATAAAGTTCTAAAATGTAGAAATGACTGAATGAAACTTGTGAACAGTTTGAATGAAAACCCTGGGTTGTTTAGACGTGTTCAGTTGTTTTGTATTTTTTTGTATTTTACATTTTATTTATTAAAACCTAATTAAAATTGCCTAAAAAAATGCTGAGACTATAGCCACCATAGGGCATCCCCTATCAGGTTCTAAAATCCAAACATGCAGTTTCATGACCAGCTTTCTGGGTTTTTTTTTTTTTCTAACCACTTGCTGACCGCTGTGTTTACACCCCCTTCCTGGCCAGGCCATTTTTATATTTTACTATATAATAAAAAAAGTACAGAATATTTAAACACAAAACTGTTTTTCCTACATTATGTTATGAAACATTTATTATTACCTAATTTTAGGGCTGTTACTGATTAAAATATTCGTGTTCGATTAATCGAATTTTTAAAAATCGATTAATCGATTAATTCGTCCTATACACATACAGCACAGCAATGAAAAATGAACTAGGATCACACTAATCCGGCACGTTATTAATCTCACGTGCCCCACCCAATATAAGGCGGCCGCTTGAGTGGGGCAACTCAGAATTATAACGTGCTGGATTAGTGTGATCCTAGTTCATTTTATTATTTCATTGCTGTGCTGTATGTGTATAGGCCAGGGGCGCCCACTATTTTTCGTCTGGAGATCTACTTTTCAAATGACGAGCTTATTGAGATCTACCAACGAAAAAACACCTGCATTCAGGGGCGGGAGGGGGCGTAGGCTGCGCAGGCAGGCCCCTCGCCCACAGTGCGATCGCCTGCATTAGTGCCTGTGTTCCAGTCCAGTGCGATCCGCAAAAATGCTGCGAGCACTATTTTTGCAGATTGCACTGGACCGGAATGCAGGCACTAATGTGTCTGCGTTCCGAGTGCGGGCGATCGCACTGTGGGCAATGCCAATGACTTCAATACAGCTCCACACCCCCTCCCGCACCGGAACGCAGGGAGTCGGCCTGCTTACATTCCAGTGCATTCCAGTACATTACAGGTCCCGGCGTCCTGTCCTCCCGTGGTGCTCGTGTGGCCGACGTTGCACATGGGGTGACCTTAGCCAGCTCCTTTTGCGCCTGAGGCAAGGAAAAAAAAACAAAGTTTTTTTAATTTTATTTTCATTATTTATTTTTATTTTTATTTTAAATTTTCATA